AGATAACTCTGAAGTCCATCGTTCACCTAGGCAGTTGGCTCTAATACGTGTTTGAAAATCTGTTATAGGAAAGATAGGTTATTGCTCTTCTAATGAATCTCTGGGAAATAACATTGTTGCTTCTAACTTATTAAGGTGAAAATACATGATTATCCAGTTTTCCTTTGCATTTCATTTTTTTAATCACCACACAGATCAACGATACAGCACTATAATTAACAATACTGTTTTATATAATTAAAAATTTGCTAAAAGAGTAGGCCTATGTTCAGCGTTCTTACAACAACAAATAATAATAAATGAAGAGGGTAGGAGGAAACTTTTGGAGGTGATAGATATGTTTAAGGCATAGATTCTGGTGATGGTTGCACAGGTGTATATGTATCTCTGAGCTCATCAATTATGTACAGCTTTTTGCATGTCCATCATCTCAATGAAGCAGTTTTTAGAAAATCACCACCACATGCCACTATGAAATATTTCCTTAGAAACAAAAGACTCATCACATCGGTGTAGAGAGGGTAACCATAGTTTCTATTATGAGCAAATGTGGCAAAATTTGTCATGCACAAAGGACAGTAAAACTGTGTTTGTAGCTTGATATTGAAGACAGATGTAATGAAAGAAAATTTTTACTGTTTCAGTGTGGAAAGATGACATCATTAAGGAAGAAAACAGTTCTTTTAAATAATGCATTCTATTTTGCAATATAGTTATGCTAGGGCAAGAGAGAGTAAAAATGTCTTAAATCATCAAATTTTTCCACTTTCACAAAGGAAATAAATACAATAATTAGAAAAATCCAAGTGAAATATATTTATTTTTACTCTGCATAAATGCAGGGCAAAAAGACTTCTTAGGGTTTTTTCTTTCCTTTAACAGTACATTAATGTCCAAATAACTGAAGAAAAAGAACTGCAAATTATAATCTTTTCTCCCCTCATGTCAAAGCCAAGGTTTACTCCTAGCTATTTTAACAGGTAACATATTAAGTCAAAAAAAGTAAATTAAAAATCATTCTCTGGAGGGTACATTTTTTACCAGACTAAAATGAGAGAGTAAGTTATGCATCCAGTAGGAAAAACCACGATTTCAGGGGAATTTGAGAGGGAAGTATTTTTCTCCAGTTGTGAAACTTTATAACAATATGTTTTTTAAAAATTTGGTAGTTTGACATATTCCATTTCTTTTTAATTTTATAAGTAATACATTCCAAAATCAGGTGATCTTCTATTACATGTACTTAAAATAACTATCTTCAAGGCAAAGAATAAAATCAACATTAAATAATGAGGGCTTATGTTTGCTTTTAGTAATATTAATAGGATTCCCTAGTAACACTCATGATCATTATTAATATAATACTATAGTCCCTAAATCTTTCCTGGACAAGAGTAAATAAAAGTAATAATGTAGTATAAAATCAACTTTACCACGTTTGTGCTGAGCATTGTATATTATCTCTAATCCTTACAACATCCCTACAGGTCGTTATTAGCTCCATTTCAAACAGGAGGACGGTGAGGCTTGACGAAGTCAAGCAAGCTGTTGAGCACTGCATTGCTGGTAAATGGCCAGATGGGGATTGGAATCTAGGTGTCTCACTGCTTCCATGTTATATGCATATTTATACTGTCAGTCAAAATATGCCTTTGAAATATAGTAACTTTAACACAGCAATGCCTGCTATGGAATGCATAATTTGTCATGTCCCCAAAACACCATAATTTTTAAAAAGGTTCTACTCTAAAGGTGTTTTTCTGTTCTTTGAAACTCAACTAGAACACAGATTCATTCTGAATGATATAGATACTAAACCTTCACATAATCCAAAGGTTGATAAAGATACATGTCCTGGACTAGCAGGCACTCCGAGATATTATTATTTGCAACTAACTGGAAAAGAAATATTCAATAAAGATCTTATTGCATCCATTAGGCATCAAAGCATGATTTCAAGCCAAAGCAATCCTGAAAAAGAAGAACAAAGCCGGAAACAGTACACTTCCTGATTTCAAACTATATTTCAAAGCTAGAGTCATCAAAAAAGTATGATATTGGCATTAAAAACAGAAATGCAGATCAATGGAACAGAATAGAGAGCACAGAAATAAACCCATGCATATATGATTCATCTATTTATGACAGAGGAGCCAAAAATATACAATGGGGAAAGGATAATCTCTTTAATAAATGGTGTGGGGAAAACTGAATAGTCACATGCAAATGAATAAAACCAGACCTCTACTTATGCCACATGAAAAAATCAAAGTCAAAATGGATTAAAGACTTGAACATAAGATCTGAAGCTGTAAAAATCCTCAAAGAAAATATAGAGAGTATGCTCCTTGACATTGGTCTCGGCAATGATTTTTTGAACTTCACACTAAAAGCAAAAACAAACAAGTGGGAGTACATCAAACTAAAAAGTTCTGCTCAACAAAGGAAACCATCAACAAAATGAAAAGGCAACCTATGAAATGGGAGAAAACATTTGCAAACTACATATTCGATGAGGTTAATATCCAAAATACATAAGGAATTTGTACAGCTCAATAGCAAAAAGGAAAGTAAAACAAGTAACCATTTTTCATTTAAAATGGACAAAGAAACTCAACAGACATTTCTCCAAAGAAGACATGTAAATGACCAACAGGTACCCGAAAAGGTACTCAACATCACTCATCATCAGGGAAATGCAAATCAAGACCACACTGACATATCACCTCACACTTGTTAGGAAGGCTCTTAGGAAAAAAAGAGATAAGAAATGCTGGAGGGGATGTGGAGAAAAGGGAGCCCTCCTGCACTGTTGGCAGGAATGTAAACTGGTACTACCACTGTGGAAAACAGCATGGAGGTTCCTCAAGAAATTAAAAATAAAACTACCCTATGATCCAGCAATTTCACCTCTGGGTATATAGCCAAATGAAATGAAACCGTTTTCTCAAAGAGGTATCTGTCCTCTCATGTTTACAGCAACATTATGCACAATAGCCAAGGTTTGGAAACAACCTAAGTGTCCATCAATGAATGATGGATGGAGAAAACTTAGTACACACACACACACACACACACACACACACACACACACACACTGGAATATTATTCAGCCTCAAAAAAAGTGGGAAATCTTGTCATTTGTGACAATATGGGTGAACCTGGAGGGCATTATGCTGATGAAATAAGTCAGAAAGACAAATCTTGCATGGCATCAGTTATATGTGAAATCTAAAGAGAAAAAAAGAAGTTGAACTCATAGAAATGAGAAGTAGAAAAGTGGTTGCCAGGGGCTGGGGGGTGGGGAAAATAGGGAGAAGTTGGTGAAAGGATACAAGCTTTCAGTTACAAGATAAGTAAGATCCATAAGAGGATCTAATGTATAATATAGTGACTATAGTTGATAAAACTGTATTGTAAAATTGATATTTGCTAAGAGAGAACTTAAATGTTCTCACCCAAAAAGGGAGGTATAAATATGTGAGGTGGATGGATGTGTTCATTAACTGGATGGATGCGTTAACTAACTAGGTGTTAATTAACTAGATGTATGTGTATATCAAATCAACACATTGTACAGTTCAAATACCTTACAATTTGTCAATTATACCTCAGTAAAGCTAAAAATAAAGAATCAAAGCATAATTTCAAACTGATTTCTACTTGATGAGTTTAAATCAGCAGATCCTTATGTAAGGGAGATATCTTTGGAAAAAAAACACAACCATTTATGTTCTCAAATAGATGAGCACACTAACAGTTTGACATTTTCAAAAACACTGCATTAACAAAACTCACTAGCTCCAATAAATAACAAGATTGTGATTTTGTCCATACAGCAGTTCTCATAGCAGCAGAAGAAAGAAAAGGAGGAAGAAAAAGAGAAGGAAGGAAGGAGAAGAGGAGAAAAAATAAGAGGAAGGAGAAGGAAAACAAAGACAAGGAAGAGATGTAGAAAAGGAAAAGAAGTGATGGAAGGAGAGGAAAAGGAATGGAGAGGGAGAGAAGCTGCTTGATATTCTAACTCCAGATTATTATTTGAAATTCTATTCACAGACACTCGCAGCCCTCTGAGCTCTTCTGCGTACTTGAATTATATATTATGTAGTTGTACTAGATCCTACTTGGGTGCAGATTTTAAAAAGATGGCCTATCAAGTCATCTCTGTCCCTCAATTTTGACACCACTACCAGAGAGTAGAGACTCTGTACCAGAAGTTGGAACTTGCCACATTAGGGAGTATAAAGTTTAAAGTATAAATTTACCAAGAGGGGAAATGAAACTAATATTTATTGAATACCTACTATGTAGCTAGGACTTACACTAGGTATCTTAAATGCATTTTATCATTTAATAACATTAATATTATTATAGCCATTTTACAGATTGAAAAACTGAGGCTTGGAGAGGTAAAGTAACATTCCCATGGTTGCACCACAAGTAAATGACAGCCCAGAATTTAATCCTGCTTGAATCTTCTGTGTTCATCTCTTACTTCACTGCCCTATATCAATATGTATGGTGCTTGTTAGTGATTCATTCTAAATAGCAGCTCAGGGCTCCTTCTCCTTATTTCTCCTTGAGAAAAGCTGATGTGACCAGAAGCCAAAATCACTACCAGTGATCTATGGGATCATGGACTGAAGTTTTCAGTATGAGTCAAAGTCTCTTGTGTGGCTTGCCGCCTTGGATTCCTTACTTTAGCCTCCCACTCTTAGCTTCTCACCTGTTTAGACTGAAGTACAGAGTGACAAAACCTATTTGAGGGGAGGGAAGGACATGTGTGCCGTTGTCCATGGTCCTGAACTACATGTTGTTCCTGTGGGAAGAGGAGATGTAGTTATGGATGTGGCACAGAGTACAAACCCAGGAAGGTCTGACAGAACTAGATATGGTCCAAAGGAAAGGATACAGGGAGTAGATGGCTTAAACAGCACAATCCAATAGAATTTTCCATAATGGTAATAATGTTCTAATTCTGCATTGTTCAATGTAGTAGCCATTAACTACATGTGGCCACTGGGCACTTGAAACATGGTGAGTAATCAATTTTTTATTTCATTCAATTTTAACTAGCTTAAATTGAAATAGTCACATGTGTACCATATTGGACAGCACAGATTAGGTCATCAGCACTAAGCTGTTTCTTGAAAATGCAAATCTGGGGGCACCACACGAGATGTTCAGGGTCACGATCTCTGGGATGAGTCCAAGGATGTGCACTTTTAACCACAAAATTCCTGTGGTCACTGACATTCAAGACCCGCTATCTTACAGGGTCAGCCTTCTGAAACCTTTCCCCTAAACCCACTATTGCCTGCCACTTTCACTTCAGTTCTTGAGCTTGCCCTGACTTAGAAAATTTAAAAGCCTTAACCTCACTCTCAGCCCTGCCTTTATACTTGGGACCCAGTGGCTCAGGATGGTTGTTGAGTTTCCACATCCTCCCTCTTCATCCCAAGATTCATTAAGGGCCAGCATTAAGGGCACTCATGACACAGAAACTCTAAGCTCCTGTCTAACCCTGCCCTAAGTCACAATACTCCCAAATTCATATGCTATTTGCCCTCCCTACTCATGTATTTTTTTCTAGTTCAAAGAAACAGGCATTTGCCTTGGTTTCTGCCTCCTTTAGCCCCCTGTCCTTTCCCTAATTCCTTCTACTTGTAGGGATGGTGCCTTCCTGGTTCCCACCAGCCTGTCTCAGATGAACCCTCATCTCCACAATCTCCATCCACAGTCAGGATGTACGGAGAGCTCTAGTGGGACACTGACTACTACCCTTCTGACTTTCAAGTTAAACTCACTTAGAATGGACCTCTAGGTTCTGATGAATGACCAATTCACCCATAGTGTGATATATTTTTGAAACACTGCTGATTCTCTGTAGCTAAATCCATTTCTCCAAGCCTCACATATTGATCACATTACCTAGATTCCAGCATGCTACACTTCTGAGCCCACCTTAATTAAATATTTTTAGTTTAATAATGGAAGTCAGAGATAAAACTAAATATTTTCAGAACTGTGAATTCAATATCTACTAAAGTTTTCATACCTTATCCCCACCGTCACCACCACTCATATACACACATATACACAACACAGAATGTACACTGATATATCAGTTAAAAAAAATAATCTCCTATGGATTGCCACATTTGACTGACAGAATGTGTAGACTGTTACACAAATCATCCCACACAGCTGTTGGATAGGTCCCTCTCTCATTGACCTTGGGCTTGGTCATGTGACTTGCTTTGACCAGAAAGACATTTAGCAAATACAAGAGGAGCAGAGACTTGGTAAGCACTTGCACACAGAGATATGCCTTCTTGGAATTACTGCCATTGGCACGTAGGAGACGTGTCTCTGCTGCTGAAGCAGCCAGACAGAGAACTGAGGCACTCTGCTGATGGTCCTGGCTGACCTCCAGGTGAGGGTGAGGCTATGTTGGCTCATCCAGCTCCAGTCAAAGCCCCAGATCACAGTATACGCATGAGCAACCCCAGAAAACCAACAGAAGAACAGCCAGGTATAAAGTGAACCTAGACCAAACTGTGAGCAAATAAATGATCATGTTTAAAGCCATCAAGTTTTGAGATAGTTACGTAGCAACAGATAACTGAAACACAGAAAGACCCTAAGAGATATTACCATCATTGCTATTTTATAAATTAGGAATGTGAAGTTCAGAGAGATTAGATAATTTATCCAAGATCTTAGAGCTAGAAAGCAGCAGAAGAGGATCTCCAACTTTAGTCTGTCCCCAAGTTCAGCACCTCTCCACAACACTAGGCTGCATCTATACAACCACCATTCAATTAGTAAGGGGTCCTCAACAACCCCAGTCCTCCCCAGACCCCATTTGCTGACCTAGTCACCCACCTCCAGCATCCCTTTATTGAGGATAAGTGTCCTTTGGCTCCCTCTTGGCCTGCTGGTGACCTCCTCTTGTTACTTTCATTCTGCAAAAACTTAGGCCAGGAATTATTTTAAGGGAACGGCTTGAATACAGCTAATGGAAGCCTTAAAAGGTGAGATCTACCTTATGTGCAAAATGAATATTCTGGTCTGCAGTCCTGATATAGGTAATCATAATGGAGAAAAAGAGAAACAAACTTATCTGGTCTGGAGGAAAGCCATAAGAATTATTTAAGGATTATAAGAAATTCATTAGTGAAAAATAGATTTTGGCATCAAAGTTCTTATTCATAGAGAGCACTATAGTTATATTAAGTCTTTAATGCAAAACTGAAGAATGAAATGGATTTAAATGCCAAAATTGTGAAAATGTGCCACAAAACTGAATAAAAATTTTAAATGGAAATCTTAAAGTAAGGCCATGACAAATGTATTTTTTAAGATTGCATTTATTTATTTATCTATTTATTTAAGATTTTATTTATTTATTTGACAGAGAGAGAGCACAAGGAGGGGGAGCAGCAGAGGGAGAAGGAGAAGCAGGCTCTCCACTGAGCAGGGAGCCCGATGTGGGGCTCAATCCCAGGACCCTGGGATCATGGCCCGAGCCAAAGGCAGACACACTGAGCCACCGAGGTGCCCCATGACAAATGTATTATGAAGAAAAAACTCACCACTCGAGAAGTTTGTACAGGAATTACCAAAACAATAAGGAGATGTAAATAGGCGTATTCATTTCTTCTGAAAATTCTTAAGGAACTTCATCATGCCCCTAAGACTAATTCATGGATTTAGTTCCAGGTGAAGCAAATTTTTTGAAAGAAGTCCCTGCTTCTTGGCTAGAGATATGCTTACTTTGCTATTATCAATAGACAAGTGAACCAGTCTTCTGAGTTTTTGGCTTGGGAGCCCAAAACGTAATTTTAAAGTGAAAATTTTCATATCTGAATGTCATTTTGCCCATAGTGATAGAACAGTAAGAAAGCATCTGGCATAAATTAAGTGAACCAATTTCCAAATCATGTGAAGAATAACTTTTAGTGTGAGGATGTGAGGTCATTATGAAAACTGGCTTGCCCACAGGGTTCAAAAGACAGTGTGGATAAAACATGTGAGCTCATAAACAAGCTTTCTGAGGATGAATTCATTTTCCTGCAGCCCTCTGTCCACACAACAGAGCGAGCAATTGCACAGGTGTGTCAAGCAGCCTGTATAACCCAGCTTGTGTTTGTTCCAGGAGAGCTCATGTGCCCACATCATTTCACTCAAAGAAGGAAAGCAGAGTGGGCTAGTGAGGAAGCACCACTGCCTTTAACCCAACATTTAACCTCTTGGTGGCTCATTGTTCTGTAAAAGGTAGGTAGTAAAACGCATGCTTCCTATTTCACAGAGTTGCAAGCATAAAAAGTGTAAACATGCTTTGGAGAAGTTCAAAGTGCCGTGTAGATACAAAGGGCTCTATATCTGGTGAAGAGTATAAAAAGGCAGCGATCCCACCAGCCAGCCATGAGGCTGCTGGTGATGCCTCACGTGAAAGCAGAGGCATCTGAAAACACAAAAGACCTAACAGGGAGCAGAAATAAAGATATGCTGCTCGAACAAAAAAAAAAATGATCACGCTTATTCTGGATCCTCACATAAGAAAATAATATTTTGAAAAATTGTCATGTTAAATTTAAGCTACCCTTCGGTGACTCCAAGCTATGCAATTTGCATTTAGCACACGCTTAATTATATCCTAGAAGAATTCCTCTAATTCTCATTCATGACAATAATCCTGCAAAATTTAACTTGGATCCACTTACAAAGACTTATGCACAAGGTCAATGATAATAACTCAATCATTTCTTTCTTTCCACCTACTTTCTGAATAATGATTCCCTTTCTTCCACACGGTGCAAGGGTTCCAAATCCTGTTTGCATACAAACCACACATTTTTCCTATACCACCTTATCTCCATTCATAATTTCACATGCACTAACACTGAAAGAAGAGTGCTCTGTGTTCAAGCCAGTCCATTTCATTCCATTAAATAGACATTTTTTATTATACTACATCTGGTGCTTTTCTTGTACCTACACCACATGTATTTGACACTGTTTTTGTCATTTAGAGGGGAAAACACTTAGGAATAAGTCCCCGCATCCAAGAAGAGTACTCTAAGAGAGAGGGTAAGAAAAAATCAAGACAATAATACAAGCCAGAATAGAAGAGCTTTAGAGAGGTTTAAAAGGCTCTCGGTGGTAAAGAAAGAGATCACATCTTGTCTTGTCAGGATGAGGTTTCAGAAGGATGCTTTCTAAATAACCCTCAAAGCAGAAATAGAGATAGAAAAGAAAAGATGCCTTATTGGCCAAAAACCATGTTATTTGCAAAAATAATCAAAGCATGGGTGGGAAGAAGAGGAAGGACAAATGCTGGCTTTGAGGGAGCAAAGCAAAGAGCACAGCCTGGGTCTACTGGTGGTGAAATCTGGTGGATGAGGGCACCAGTCTCTACAAAGGGAGGAGTGGAAAGATGAAGCCAATGAGCTCTTCTTATTCTGAAGAGCTTTAATTGCCAGGCCAGCATGCAAGATATGAGAGGGTCTTTGAAGAGAGGAAGGCAGGAAAATACAATATTTCACTGCCACAAAACCCTAGCTCTTTCTATTACATAATCATTAACACAAATAATGGATAAAATGATAAAAAAACAAGGGGCTGGAAAAAACAAGGAGCATGGTTCATTCAGTTTGGCAAATGCCCCCAAGCCAAAAGTGGCTTCTCATTTTCTCTGATTACCTCTCTGGGTTCCTAGTTTCAGTGAGTTCCCCTTACTCAATATCCAGATAATTGATGTATTAAAAATATTTTTATTGTATCTTGATTTCTTTTTTATTTATTTATTTGACAGAAAGAGATCAAATACTGCTTTACTATTTTATGTGTGTATTTATAATACATACATAATAATTTATAATTTATAATATTATTGCTGGCTATACTTGTAATTAGCTTTCTATAAAAAAGCATTGTCATGTTTTATTTTGTGGTCATGAAATGCTATCCAGTTATTCAGTATTAGGAAAGTTTCCCCCAGTATAATACCAAAGTGATACCTGGGCTTTATTTCCAGCAGTATGGTTAACAAAGTACCCTGCTTGACCTTCCTGCAGAAATCAAAATACAAGGGGTGCCTGGGTGGCTCAGCCATTAAACGTATGCCTTCAGCTCAGGTCATAATCCCAGGGTCCTGGGATTGAGTCCTGTGTTGGGCTCTCTGCTTGGCGGGGAGCCTGCTTCTCCCTCTCCCTCTGCCTGCAGCTCCCCCTGCCTGTGCTCTCTGTCAAATAAATAAATAAAATCTTTAAAAAATAAATAAAAAAGAAATCAAGATACAATAAAAATATTTTTAATACATCAATTATCTGGATATTGAGTAAGGGGAACTCAGTGAAACTAGGAACCCAGAGAGGTAATCAGAGAAAATGAGAAGCCACTTTTGGCTTGGGGGCATTTGCCAAACTGAATGAACATGCTCCTTGTTTTTTCCAGCCCCATAAAGCCACAGAATAAAGGCCACAAAGCCCAGGATTCACCCGATGTGAGGGGTTTGTTTGTTTGTTTGTTTGTTTGTTTGTTTGTTATTTTCTTGGAGGACCGGAGGTTTATTTAACACCAGCGGGCTCAGAGGAGAGCGGTCTCCAAAGGTCTGAGCCTAACGTGAGGGGTTTAATAGGAGATCCCCTTTCATGAAACTTAGCTCCAGTGTAAGAGTGAACTGGAAAATAATTCTGGCATTCACAGAACTGAAAACAAAATTACCTATCCAGAAATGTAGTCTCAGAGAGGGTGGGACTCTTCCCTAAAATTTCTTAACCACAGTCAGTCTTCATGTAGTTTTAAAGGCCAAATTCACACTACCTAGGATGTCCAATAAATCACAAGCTAAAAAAGTCAGTTTAGAGTTGTCCTGGGCTGTTAGCTCCTCCAGGTTCCTGGCAGGAACAAATTCAAAATCCATTCTGCAGAATTAGATTTATCACAGTTTCAAAGAATTCATGCAAATAAGTTCCCAGAAACATGAGGTCATGGTGTAAAACAACAAAAAACACCCCCCCAAAATACACATAAACACAGGAAAAAAGTACCATGAGCAAAAGCCAACAGAACAGACTGAAAAAAGGTCTAAAAGGCTTTATATCTAAATAAATTTAAGGATGGCTTAAAATAGGAAGAAAAAGAAAGACGCCATAGAAATGATGCAGATATTTATTTTTTTTAAAGATTTTATTTATTTATTTGAGAGAGAGAGAATGAGAGATAGAGAGCACGAGAGGGAAGAGGGTCAGAGGGTCAGAGGGAGAAACAGACTCCCTGCCGAGGAGGGAGCCCGATGTGGGACTCGATCCCGGGACTCCAGGATCATGACCTGAGCCGAAGGCAGTCGCTTAACCAACTGAGCCAGCCAGGCGCCCTGATGCAGATATTTAAATAAAAAATATATGCATAGTACTCAGTTTGGCAGCATATATACTAAAATACAAATTCTAGAACTAAAAAAAAAAAAAACAATTTTCTTAACTTAATAGACTAACAACGTTGAAGTGTGAAACAGGAAGGTAGAAACAATCATCCAGAAGGCAACATAGAGAGATCAAGACAGAAATTACAAAAAAGAAACCAAAAGATATGTCAAACCAGAGCTCTAGAGGGACAAGAAAGAAAAAGAATAGGAAAAAAGAATATTTGGATTGATGATTAAGAACTTTTCGCAAATAATGGGATATCTCTCCCCAAGCTGAAGAAACCTAATGAATCCCAAACTTGATAATTTAAAAAAAAAAAAAAAATCCATGCTTAGAGATTTATCTGAATCTCTGCACTCCCAAGACTGGGTCAGTTTTGAGCTTTAGGTATGATCTCATCTGTTAAAATAATAAACAGAGAGCAACCTTGAAAATTCCCCATGCAGACAAAACCAGTTTTAGTCATACAAAGTTTAATTCAGCTTTTTTTGCAAGACTAATTTGACCTGGGTCATTTCTTGCTTATGCCTCTGAAAATCATAAGCAAGACTTAAATTCTTTCCCAAGGTTGATATTAGTTACCACTGACCAGTTCCCTATCATTTAAGAGAATTCTTATATTAAAACCAATCATTGTGAAGAATAAACAGTCAGTGCTTTCTCACTACATAAGCTGCTTTCTAACAATATACTCCTGAGCCTCGTTCCATGTTTTCGTTTGGGTGTTCTCAGTTTGCAAACTGCCTTATTGGTGTGTGCACAATAAACGTTTACTAATCTCTACTTCAGTGATCGATTGGTTTTACCTTGGCTATTTCTGAACTTTTTTGTTTTTTTAAGATTTTATTTTTAAGTAATCTCTACACCCAACGTCCAGCTCGAACTTACAACCCCGAGATCAAGAGTCCCAAGCCTTACCTACTGAGCCAGCCAGGAGCCCCTGAACTTTTGACACCTCTCTGGCAGTCCCTTTTTCCAACAAAAAAGTCTTTACTTCAAGAAGAGGCGAGCAGGCTCAGTGGCAAGAGAGTCTGGTTCATAGCAACATCTACTTAGTATATTTTAAAATATCTTGCCACATAAAGCCAAAGAAATACCCACCAAATTCCAGTCACTGAGGGTTGTCCTGAATGCTCTTTAGGTTCTCCAAAAAGAAGCTTGTTTTGTGTCACATTATTTTTCTCCCCTTTTTGTGGGCCAGATTCAATTTGTCACTACTTGGATATTGAACACTTTCTGCAAATTAAAGAGAAAGTCACCTTAGGCAACTCTCAAATACAGGCTTATTGGAAACTTGATGATACTGTAAATCATTACAGAGCTTAGGTTCTGTACCACTGCCCTCACTGATCAAATAGAGGGCACTGCTTTGAAGACAGCAAGGACCCCTGGGACTGGCCTGATGCTTTTTGCCTTCAGCTTCTAAAGTTTATCACATTACTAATGTTTGAGCTTCTGGATTCTGCTGGCTAGTTTAATCATCTTGAGGTACAATAATACCATTAATAGTGTTAGAAATGATTTATCCTTCTTTGTACTATTTCCTTCTGCTTGATTCATTCATTTTATTTATAATTTTGCAATTATAAGTTTTCTTCCCATAATCTTTCTCTCTCTGGCCGTTCAAAGCAAAGACCACACTATCCTCTCTCTTTTATGATAATCTATTGCTATGTAAATAGAGTTTTCAAACGGATTAAATGATCCAAGAGTAATAAAGAAAAAAGAAGTACTTTCTAAGAGAAAATTTGTGTTCAAATACAATCCCTTTAAGCTGTTACAAAAACATTACACAATTATTAATTGAGCCCTATATATCTAGCAAGGTGCTAGGTCCTAAGCAAT